TGAGTAATAAAGTGCTTAGGTAAGTTTGGTGAGTAATAAAGTGCTTAGGTAAGTTTGGTGAGTAATAAAGTGCTTAGGTAAGTTTGGGAATCAATCTTTACGAAATGAATATTTTACACATATCTATAAGATTCACGAAAGTTTCCAACAATGATATTTTTAGTGCGTACTATATTGTTTGGAACTTAATGGACGACAGCAACAACTATAAACTACTGTTGTCTGATGATGGTCAGCACGAAGACAGTAGTTAGTTTAGATTTGTTTGTTTGTTGATTTTCGCGCAAAGCTACTCAGGAGCTTTTGCGCTGGCTGTACCTAATTGTAAAGTTATGGACTGACTAGAGAGAGGGAAGGCAACGAGTGAACATCTATCCACCGACAACTCTTGAGCTACTCTTTATCAACGAAAAATGGGATTGAATATCACATTATAACTCTTCCACGGCTGAAAGGGGAAGGTATGTTCGGTGACTGAATTCGAACCCCGTGACCCGCAGATTGCGAATAGAACTCCAACCACCAGGTTGAGTTACTTTAAGAATGGTGTTTATGTTATTGAATTTACCTCACTCATCCACTCTTCACTGTAGCCACCTATCGGGACAACCCATGTGTACTTTTAATAACAATAATAATGATAAACAGCAAGAGCCTTCTAAATTTATATCGCAGAGTCTAAAAACATTTAAAACCCAAATTATGAATTTTGTTATTACTTAAAAACATGATTTTACGCAAGGATCTTTGGTTGTTTGTTATAAACATCCGCGCCGAGCTACACAACAGTTGTCTATGCTATAACTGTCCCAAGTTTGAATTGATAGACTATAGACAAGAGGGAAGCCAGTTAGTCAATCAACAGTATCCACCGTCAGCTCTTTGGATACTTTAATTGAGTAGTGGGATTAAACTGTCACTTCCAAAATGAACACTCACTGTCTCAAAGTGTTTGGTGCGATTTTGCGGTAGCTGGACGTGAATCAATTCTTCACATCCAGCCCTAATGCCACACTTTCAGTATCATGATCCAATATAACTTTATGACACTGAATTCATGAAATATTCTCCCCGAATATTTTTTATGTTTGTTATAAAGCATAAATCTACACACTTGGCTATGTGCTACTTGTTGCGAATATCGAAACTCAATTTTTAACGCTCAGACTTACCGCTAAGCAACCGGGGGCTTCGCTGAATGATAAACGCATATTTTGGTTTAGGAACAATTTAAATAGACATTTCTACAATTTGATACTGAAACTGTTATTCTTAGTCTGACTAAGAACTTATACTATGCCCAGAAATAGGTTTGAGGGCTTATATCGTTAAAATTGAAGCTTCATTTCTGCGTTTCGCGCAGCACAGATAGTCTATTGTGCACCATTGCGCTTAACAACAACAACAACAACAAAACAACATATGCGACATGTTGATAAACGAGTATAACACTCCTGCAGCTGAGATTATTCAAATGCATATCGCGACTCGAGACTTAGACCTTCCGATTTGCAGCCTCACACGCTAACCATTGGACCGTACCCGGCTCAAAGATGCAGAATTTTGCGATTTGAAAGCAATGGTTTAAATTTGATTTTTCTGTTTAAAGTCGCTGTCGCAAGCCTACTGAAGTGCTTAACAACTGAAAACTTAACCAACGTCATCCCTCCCTGTTCTTCAGTAGTTGACTCAGCTATGTAATGATCCATCCAGAACTTTTAAAACAGGAAAGGGTCATTTCAAACCTTCTAATGCTTCCAAAAAAAAAAAAGGTTTATCAGCCTTACGCTCGTGGCTTTAAACTGCACTGCCAAATTTAATAAATAAACTGAGTATTAAATATGGTTTAATCTTTTTATAATCATTATAAAGAAATCACTGCAAACGTAAATAAAATTACGACCTCTATCTCCAGAACGTAACTTGTAGGATATCGATAGCTCCTGACGAAGCTATAACAGCGAAATATTGAGTTCATAAAGTTACATTCTGTAATAAAAAAGGTCGTGATTTTATTTACGTTTATAGTAATGTCCCATAATAAACTCCAATTTGCGTTAAAGAAAGTTAAAAATACAACACTACAAACTTTCAAAGAGACAACTTGTAAATCAACCGTGTATTTATTTTCACGCTCAATACATAGTTTACTGACGACGTGGAAGTCGTTCAGTGGGAAGTCTGTGGACTTACAACCCTCAAATCTAGGATTCGATTCCTCCCGGCAAACATAGCGTAGGTAGCCTATTGGTGTGTACCTTTGCTCTAAAACAGGAAATCAAACACTTGATATCAAAGCCTGGAAATAGTCCGATGTTGTGAAATATTTATTCGACGGTTCTTTTTGTTATTTCTGTTTTTTTTTCGAAATAAAAAAAAAATAAATCCGGAGGATACATAAATAATAACAATTTCACAAGATTACGCCTAAGCAAAATGTCCCCTTTTCTGACATCTGTCTAGCGTACGTAGCAAACACTCTCCGCACTAATAAATATGGAAAAAAACTAGACGGAGATTATTTTCAATGGATTATCTACATATGCAAAATCTTCTTATAGCTTTCTAAGTATTAGATCTCGAAAACCTTTTGCTCTTCCAAATATCGAAGAACGATAACGATATACAAAATCGGGTTTTCGTAGATTTTGGAACGGTGCGTTTTATCGTTGTTCTTCATATTTCTTCACCAGGAAGACATGTTATATTTACATTACATTTCTCTCCAGTCTATTGAATATCAAACAAAAACAAGAGAACAAGCTCGTTTCTAGTTTACGTTTGAGATGTAGTGTAGGCATCGCTTCTATTTGTTGTCATACAATACGAAATGAAGATTTTACTCTGCTCAACTTTGGCGGATGGTGAAGATAAACTTGATTGAGTCTACAGTCTCAAGAACTGGAAATTCGAACTGGTAATATATGAAAAAACAGGCCTATTCTCAATGGATGAGCCCCTGGGAACAAGGATAAACTACTGAGAACTGAACATGTGCATAAAGATATATGAGAATCATTTCCTCCTTTTTTATTTTTGTAATGTAGCCATTCCGCATTTGCTTAAATGTTTCCATTCTTGGCTTCAATATTGTAATGATTGTTTTCATACAATGGAAGAGCATAATCTTTGTATTGGTGTAATGACAAAGTCAGATATAAACAGTCAGAGGAGCTATCTTGAAATTGCATAGTAGTGTGGATAAGTTACAACTGCGTTCTTTAAACATCTACTGTTAGTACCTAGACTAGGTAAGATTCTCGTTCCACTGTTAGTACCCGGACTAGGTGAGATTCTCGTTCCTTAAACATCTACTGTTAGTATCCGGACTAGGTGAGATTCTCGTTCCACTGTTAGTACCCGGACTAGGTGAGATTCTCGTTCCTTAAACATATACTGTTAGTACCCGGACTAGGTGAGATTCTCGTTCCTTAAACATCTACTGCTAGTACCCGGACTAGGTGAGATTCTCGTTCCTTAAACATCTGCTGTTAGTACCCGGACTAGGTGAGATTCTTGTTCCTTAAACATCTGCTGTTAATACCCGGACTAGGTGAGATTCTCGTTCCTTAAACATCTGCTGTTAATACCCGGACTAGGTGAGATTCTCCTTCCTTACACAGCTACTGTTAATACCCGGACTAGGTGAGATTCTCCTTCCTTACACAGCTACTGTTAATACCCGGACTAGGTGAGATTCTCCTTCCTTACACATCTACTGTTAGTACCTAGACTAGGTAAGATTCTCGTTCTACTGTTAGTATCCGGACTAGGTAAGATTCTCGTTCCACTGTTAGTACCCGGACTAGGTAAGATTCTCGTTCCACTGTTAGTACCCGGACTAGGTAAGATTCTCATTCTACTGTTAGTACCTAGACTCTGAATACGTATTTCAGGAGCTTCGGTGTATCCAGCTTATTAAGATTATAATCATTAGAGATTTTAAGTACAATAGTGATGTAAGGTGCTTTCCTACAAGCCCTTCCCCCCAGGTGGCTCATCAGTAAGTTTGAGGGCTTATAGCGCTAAAAATCGGGTTTCGATACCCGCCATGCGCAGGGAACAGATTGCTCATTATGTATTTTTGTGCTTAACAAAGAACAAACAAAGAAATAAGCTAGTTTACAATAATGATGTAAGGTATTTTCCTACATAGCTAATGTAAAATACATTCATACATTTATCAGACGAACGGTACTAATCCGAGTAACGAGATTGCCGTCGAGAAGTATAATTCGTAGCCATTCAGTTTACATAAGTTTATTTTTAATCATTAATAAACATTATTCGTACAAAACACGTAGTTATGACTTGATGACTGCTAAATCTATCTAGGTAGCCGTTAAACATATATAAATATATGAGGCGTATTGGTGGAGGAGAAGGGAGGGGATGACGGACATTTCTATAACGCAGAGGAACAAATAATTACAATCAGCCATTGAAAACAAGCACCACATTCGATTATCATTAAAGGTTCCCAACATAATTTTTTGTTTCAGTTTCTTTCTGATTCACATCTTCTTGGTTATAAGTAAATAATAATATCGACGTATTTTGTTCCTAGCTTACTGCTCCTTACCGAGTGAGCTGCCGAGGCTGGAGGATTTGTGTATACAAATAAGTGGAGATGCCTTGCTCTATTCTATGTTCAGACGTAAGTATTCATCATAATGAACAATATAAAGTCCCAGTCATTCTGCTGCTGTTTACTACTAAACAGAACATAACATTAATTCTATTCAATTCTTTCTCTTTTATTTGGTTTTTAATTACGTTGCTCCTTTAATATTAGGAAAGCCTATAAAACACGCGCTTTCTAAGATTTTCAAATGTCGCGTCAACTCATGGCATCAATTACAATTATATTAGTTCTATTTTGGGTTGTGGTATTCTCCTAATGAACGAATCACAACTGGCTGATCGATTTCGCTTTCTGTATGGCTTCACAAAACCACAATGGTAAGCTTGAGCGTCAGTAGAAATGGGTTTTCTTAACCGTTTCGAAATATTATAAATACATCATTAGAGCAAACGCGTTTACAATCAGTTGCCCAACTCGTAGTCGTTTACGCTCCAAAACCATTAGAAGTGTATAGCCTGCTCATTTTAAGTAATTACGTACGACAGACAGTTCACAAGTATTTTTAGCCGCGAATCATAGAATGGCTCTGATTTTTTTTTCAAGTTCAAACTTTAGCTCATAGCTCCATCTCTTGACCAATTTGAGGTCTGATTACAGCAGCGGCTATTGAGGCTTCCCTCTTGTCGAGAACTTCATTGTTTCTTCCTATAATATCTAAATAAGGCAGAAATTAAATAAGGTGATGAATCAAAGGCAGAAATTGAGTATCCTTTTGGATATTTAAACATGAATGCAAGTGTTTATGCATGAGTCTTGACTGTGATATACACATCAAACGATAAGATTTTTATATATATCATATACAAAAGTCCAGAATATTTACGAATGAATATCAAATCATGCAATTTATTACTTCATGTGTTTCAAAACAGGAAAATTAATCTAAAAGGTTTTACTTGCAAAACAGCAAAATCAAACTGAAAGGTTTTACTTGTCAGGTTTCTGTTAACGTTTCCAACTACCTCATTTTTTAACCTTGTTAGTTTTTTTTATTTTATCTTGAACTTACCGGGCACATAACTGAAATCACACCCCAAAGGTTGCTTTGACGTGCTGTAATACGTTTCATTATAGAAAACAGATATCCTTCATGGATAAGTGATTAGTTAAAGATAAATAATGCACAATAATTTATGAAGACCTATCGATTATTGCTTTTATATTCACCATTTATGTGTTCAAGACTCATGCACCAATCAATACTAATTTCACGATTGTTTTTTATTTTATATATATTCTGTGCTTTGCTAGTTGAAACTACTCCATTACCATGCCCATTTCGAGGATCCTTCACATTCACTTACAGTCGAGGCCACGGAGAGTGTGACTACCCGGTGTCCACCACTGATCCTTGTACTGACGAGTCTCGGATGCTTTTCAAGTTTAAAGCTTGCGCGAATGTCATTACGTCTGAGAGTCGAGGTGAGACGATAAAATAATACAATGTTTTAGTGATAAATAACTGATTTAAAGACTACAGTTGTTCTCGATAATCGTTTACATTTCTGATTTAAGACTTGGAAGAAAGTTCTACTCGAAATTTGGTATTTATTTGTTTGTTGTTATTTTTTTCGAATCGTTAGAAATTGAGGTTACAAACGCTCTATATTAGTGCAAGCCCCCCTTTCTATATATAGTTTTTAAATGTATATATATATATATGTTAAGACAGGTAGTTTATATAATCCTATAAAATAAGATAGTTTATTAATTTTTTGTTTTCATTGGCCCAAAAGTTCACAGTGATGTTACGTTAGACCTAACATGATTGTAAAATAACGTTAACTATTCTACGTACGTAGGAAACAAATGTGTCATTTATTTGCTGGTTTGTTTTATTTACTTATTCATAACGTAGTTTTAACCAAAAGTGGTAGATGTTTTTCAGGAGTCCAGAGTCCATTCTAAGTGTCTGTTGTAGTAGGCTGTTTTTCGAGAGTCCATTCTAAGTGTCTGTTGTAGCATGCTGTTTTTCGAGAGTCCATTCTAAGTGTCTTGTTGTAGCAGGCTGTTCTTCAGGAGTCTATATTGTAAGTGTCTTGTTGTAGCAGGCTGCTTTTCAGGAGTCTATATTCTAAGTGTCTTGTTGTAGCAGGCTGCTTTTCAGGAGTCTATATTCTAAGTGTCTTGTTGTAGTAGACTGTTATTCAGAAGTCTAAGTGTCTTGATGTAGCAGGATGTTTTCCAGGAGTCTATATTCTAAGTGTCTTGTTGTAGCAAGCTGTCATTCGGGAGTCCATTGTAAGTGTCTTGTTGTAGCAGACTGCTATTGAGAAGTCCATTCTAAATGTCTTGTTGCAGCAGGATGTTATTCAGGGGTCTACGTGTCTTGTTGTAGCAGGCTGCTAGAAATGAACGCGTCGACAATAACTTATGACATAATTACGTTCAAAACAATATAAGCATTCTAATACACAACAATACTAATGTGCTAGATGTTTTACTACAAGTTTATTTCGTCACGACTTTCTTATTGAATTGGTTAAATTATAGGCCAGCTTTGTTGAGAGCAACACACAGAAATATACTCTTCAGCTATTTGATTTCCAGCATATTCGTTTACACAGTTATTCTTTAATCACGTTATATATTTACAACATACGCAGAGATGGTAAAACGAAATAAGTTCTAAATAAATATTGATCTTAAAACTCTTTCATTGTTAAGCTTTCTTTATTTTAAACATTACAGTATGTCACAGTGTACATTACGGTATGTCACAGTGTACATTACAGTATGTCACAGTGTACATTACGGTATGTCACAGTGTACATTACAGTATGTCACAGTGTACATTACGGTATGCCACAGTGTACATTACAGTATGTCACATTAC